ACAAATATAAATTATATATATACATGTACAATTATATATGTGACAGATATACAAATGTAATTCGCCTCTCTCGACTCTATGCCGCCCTCTCTCTCTAGCCTCTGTCCTCGCACTCCCAATCTCGCTCGCCTGGTATACAAATATATATATATGTATACCTAGTTACATCTATACTATTATTTCGCAGATATAAATATACAATTATATAGATATACAAGTACAATTCAACTCTCCACTCTTTGCCCTCTCTCCTACCTCTCCCTCTCTTGCTCGGCTCTCTCCTCCCTTTAACATGTATCTACAAATCATAATTAGCAAACTATAGTTCTGAAGCCTAATTAAGTTATTTTTAGTGGCTAGTTGCGAAATTTCTCCTATTATGGTTAAAATTACTAATTTTATGTATATATAGTAGGTGAAACCTCTTTTGATTTTTTTGGTGTGTTTTCATATTAATATCCTCAGTAAAAATCCTCACAAATTTATTATGTGTACATTTTTCATGAATTTTAACATGTATATAAGATTGACCTACTACAAATAGTGGTATATCTTTGAAAATAGTTATTCATAAAACATAATGAACATAGCTACGATAGCCAAAAATTTCACTAAAACAATATGCAAGTTTTATCTTCAATAATTATATGTATGTAAAAAAAAGAATTATAATTCATCACTAAATAGAATAATTTATTCATATCGGTTCCTATATTTTTAATAGTGTCTTCTTACTGCGATCGAGTTGTTCCTACCTTGACATTGTTTTCTCTGATAATAACTTAAATTTCGAATATTAAAAATCCAATTTGATATGAAAGATTGAAGAGATTTGTCCATTTTTTGTAATACCTAAAATATAAATTTCAAACAAATTATCTTCTTTGATTGATTTAACATGATAAGTACATATTTGGCTGTTTTAAATAATTGAAATGTTCTCCTCAACAAAATATTTATGCCAAATAAGAAAAAATAATTTATGTAATTTATTTTGTAGGGCATAACTAATAGTAATATATTTTTCAAAATTTGAATAAAATGTTGTTTGCTCCATCAAGCACATGGACATCTATATAGTGTATACTACTATATATGCCACCAACTTTTTTATTTAAATTACTTCGAAATTTACGAAAAAATTATTCTTCTTTTAGACATTATCGATATTATCAGAAAATTGCTAATTTTATCGATCACGAATATATCTTCAAAATTAAATTTGTCGGTAAGGGTTTCCAACATAAAATCCATTATTATAAAAGTTATGGACGAGCTAATTTCCAACTAAATTTGTCTGAAAATAGCAAAAAAAAATTATAATGGATGCAAGATATATTTCATTTGGAAAAATATGCTATACTAGCAAATAACACTAGTGGCATGCACTCAGAACTAATCATGTATTTGTTTGTTTTTTTATTTCACTCGGTATTTAGTGTCTGATTAGAATTCTGACTGAATTTGGATCATGCATTGCAAGTAGGGTTGTGTATCGGCTGGTTCGGTTTTGAAGTTTGTCGGGTTGGCTTATTGGTTATGGTTTGTAGAGATGCTAAACCGTTATAAAACTATTAAGATATTGACTTATCAGTTATTGGTTTAGCAGTTTTTTATCGTTATCGATTTAACCGTTAAAATTTGACACAAACGAAAAAACATTGAAAATCACTTAGAAATAAGGTGATAAACCAAATAAACCATGCACTTGAATTCACAAGTTACATCTTGCTCAAAAGCAAACACTTTTACATTGTAGAATAATCAAGTGTTTGAGACAATCAAAAATAAAAGTAGGAAATTAAACATTAAGTCGAGGACTTTATATACAAAATGGTATAAATATAATTATTTAATTTACTATCGGGTTATCGATTAACCCGTTAATAAATAACTTTAAACCGTTAAGAATCGATAACCCGATAATAAAAAAGAATCAAAACCGTTATCAAAACCACTAAACTAATAACCCAATACTATAAACCAATAATTTTTTTATCGGTTTCGGTTCGATTTTGAACATCCCTAATTGTAAGTCTTATTTGTTGATGACACTTCCAATAATAGATTTTCCATACCCAAAGGCTCGTACCCCAAAACTTTAGTTAAGGATGAAAAAGTCTGTCAATGTACCACAGTCCATGTTAGTTATGTGTTTATGTTGGGACCCCGCTCGAGGTTTTTTTTTTTTTAAAAAAAAAGCTTGAACCAAATCGAAAATCAAGAAAGATCGATTTGAAATATTATCAACGAATCAATTTTTGACTAAATCTATTAAAATAGTGATTTTTTGATTTGAACAATTATGCTATACTAGTATTAGAAAACAACAATATATAGTATCATACACTCAAAAAGGGAGAAATTGTATGATAGATTTGATATTGATAATTGATTCCATACAACCAAAAAAAAAAAGAGTTTTGTTGATTTGATTTGATTTATAAATTTTAAAAAAATTAACGAATTAATTAATTTGATTTGATAAATGAATAAAACCGAATTAATCATATTTTCATATATTTTTATTTGTTATTAAAGGATAGTCGATGTAATACTTATAAGAAACACTATCGACCAATCAATTTTTTTCCAATAGTGAATACAAAGATATCTTTTGTTTGGACAATTAATTATGCTATACTTGAAAATAACAATAGTATCATACACTAAAAAAAGGAAAAAAATAAATAAATTATATGATAGATTTGATTTTTTTTTGAATTTAGATTTTTGGCAACATATTTTATTATATAAAAACACGTCTTCCCCCATACACTCTACACGTTTATTGAACTAATTTCACATGGCAATGCCCACTCTTGTAAAACATTTTTGCATGGCTCATTTGGTTAATGTCAAGAATTATATCTTTTTTGTTCCCCCAAAAATAAATATTTTCCAAATTAATTTGACATAGATCTTAATTGTTGGTTGTAATATAGTATATGATGTGAAATGTCACTATTAGGACAAAAAAAATGGGTTGTCAAAGATAGTACAAAAAGGAGAGAAAATGGAAATTGTTTCTGACATGTCGATCGTTTTATTAAAAGCGAGACTTAATAAAATTAATGATCTCAAAATTAAAATTTACTCCCTCCATTTTGATTTGTGTGTTGAAAAGAATCAACCTTGTTTTTCGTTTTTTGGGATTTCAAAAACCTTGTAATAGTCGTATATACTAATACTATCTTTATTCTTACTATTTTGTTGTTGTAATAGTTTAATTCGATATAAACTTTTTTCCCGAAAAAGAATTATAATCTTAAACTTGTCATAATATATCAATGAAATTTTAAGAAAAAATTATATATTTTATTTTACTATAATCTCTGAATAAAATTATCATATCAAAAATATCAAAATCCCCTCTCGGAAATATACCCTCCGATACATCTTTCCCCTCTATTTTGTAATTGTTGAATATTTACTATTTTGGGCCACATAAAGCCCATTTGAATGGGCCTCTCACATGTCCAATTTGTTGCCTTTATATGTTGAGATATTTAGATTTTGAAGACATCTTTTTTCTTCTTTTTTTATCTCAGTTCATTTTTTAGTTAAAGATTGTTTTTGGGCAAAGGTGGTGAAGCAAATTAATTGGATTAAATGTTAAATAAGTAATTTTGAGAATTTTAAAAAGGACAACTTTTACATATAGCAAATAAAAAATTCATATTTGTATGCTATAGCAAAATTTGCATAATTGCGCCCCATAGCAAACATATAACTATATAATTCGCTATACATATACAATTGTATAATTCACTGACCTAAATTGTATAATTTGCTGGCCTCGCTATACATATACAATTGTATGATTCGCTGGTCTAAATTGTATAATTCGCTGGCCTATTTCGCTACAACTGTATATTCGCTGACCTATTTCACTGCAATTGTATAATTCACTGGCCTTTTTTGCTACAATATTTGTATAAAATTTGCATTTTACAATTGAATCGAAGTAAAATGTTTGTAAATTGTATAATTAAGTGTATAGCACGAAGATATATGTTTTTCCATGTGTATATTCAATTTTCTCTCGCTTTATACAAAACGAAAACACAATTTATACACTTCTGTTGTATAAAGCGAGATAGGCGAGTAGAGGGAGAGTCGCGAGCGAGAGTTTTTGGAGAGAGGCGACTGGCAAAGTAAATCAACAGTAGCTACTCTATTTGTTTTAAGTTATTAGTTTGCTATTACATATAATTGTCCCTTTTAAAAATAAGATAAGAAAGAGTAAATAAATAAATAAATGAAAACTAAAAAAAGTCTCGCTAGTTTAGGTTTTACTTGCCTCTTTTCCCTTTACTTTTCATTATTATGAAACTTACCAGAATTTGAACTTCTAGATATATATATCTCAAATATGTTGGGTTAAAATTAGGTGTAATTTTTTAAAAATATATTGTATTCAAGTTTTGACTCTCTCACTCGCCTCTCCCCTTGTATTTGGTATCCCAAATATATTTATCTAGGATCTAGTGTGGTTCGCATATATCTTAGATATATATTTCATCTCGCTTGCCTCTCTCCTTCTCTCGCTCACCTCTCTTCCTATTTTAGTGTATCTAGTAGTGAGAATACATGTATCTAACTTGAAATCTGAATGCGAAATTATTAATTAATTAGACAATATATATTTATTTCAAATTATAGGGAGAGTTAATGAATATAGGAATGTTTATCTAATTAGGTAGTTTTTCTAAATAAAATCTCAAGGAACAAAAATAGGTCTTTCATCTCATTTCATTTTTGGGCTGGGCACAAACATTAAATTGTTGGACCTTTTGTTACTTAAAGGTAATGGAATCCTTTTGAGAAAAAATCTTTTTACCTTCACGAGATAGGATAGAGTTTACTTATAAGATTTCACTGAATATATCATTGTTATTATTATTTGTAATATCGAAAAATATTCATTAGTCTGATTATGTAGTTTCTGAAGATGTATACTCGATATATAATAAGTAAACAACAAATTGTCCACAGGGAAAAAGAAAAAAATAACATGGAATTCTTATAATAACATAGTTTTAAGATAAGTCATGTGTTATCCCAAACCATATTGAATTTAATTGATACAACTAATATACTAGACAAAAGAAGCATTTTATATTCAACAATTACAAAATATTTAGTGAAAAATTAATTCAAATTTTTATGAAGGATCAATTTGATTTTTATCAATCAAGTCAAAAAGTTCATCACCAATCCCAAAACCAAGCATTCTTGCCATGTCTTTTGTCTTGAGCCTTGGCATTGGAATCTCATTTTGCTTCAACCAAGAATACACTACAAACACCTTATTCATCACAAACAATTCCAATGCCTCTGGATTAAATACAACTCCCATTTTCATACTCATCTATCAATACAAAGAAAAATGTCAAAAAATAAAATAAAATATTGAACTTAAAATAGTTAAATTGGTCAAAAGTTTCGTTGGCAGAATTATTGTCATGTGATTAGAATATCACGTGTAGAAAGCAATAGCGGAGTCAGAAGTTCAACTAAAAGGATTTACAATATTAAACAATAAACACAAAGAAATCAAAAAGATAAGGGAAAATGCACAAGTACCTCCTCAACCTATGCCCGAAATCTCAGAGACACACTTATATTATATTAAGGTCTTATTACCCCTTGAACTTATTTTATAAGTAATTTTCTACCCCTTTTCGGCCTACGTGGCACTAGCTTGAAAGAAAAGTCAACCAGCGTAGGGCCCACAAGATACTGCCACGTAGGCTGAAAAGGGGTAGAAAATTATTAATAAAATAAGTTCAGGGGTAATAGGACCTTAGTATAGTATATATGTGTCTCTGAAATTTCGGGCATAGGTTGAGGGGTACTTGAGCATTATCCCAAAAGATAACGTATATACAGAAGGAACAAAAAGAATAATCTATTTACGTAATGTATATAAACTAGATATATACCGAATCCTTTTGACCTCTCTTTATATTTTACATTTTCTGGAAAAAAAAATTCTAATTCTGCCGCTGTCCAATGATAATGTAAACTTAGTGCACTAGTTGCCCTGCTTTGTCTGGTTTAGTCAAGAATTCAACATCGACCGTACAAAAAACTTAATATACAGTAATTATATAAAAATTCTTTTACACTATCAACGTATATAAATTTAATTAAAGAATTATATACCTGATGGGGTACCAACATTGCTGCATAACGTGCAAGTTCTCCAGCTCTCCAATCCAATAAAATTGGTAACCATGGATAAGTAGCATCTAATCTAACAAACCATAGTCTTATATCTGGAAATTCTGATAATTCCCTTGGATCATATTTATCTTCCCTTTTGTAATTTATTGTAAATCCAATTGTTCTTTCCATAAATTCTTTTGGCTTGGCTGTCACATTTTTTTTTTGAAACATTATTAAAATCATAGACAATGTTAATAATGATAAAATTAATTTTTAAAAAATAGTTGTTCATTCGACTGATTAAATTAAAAATAGCCAACATGTGTATAATATATGTATACTTATGTATAATCAATGTATATCAGTTTAGAAAAATAATCAGTAAATTTATTCGGCTATTTGTGCGATGATCTGATAAGATTTTGTGTTAAATTATTTAATTAGATTAAAAAAATCACTAAGATTGCACTGGATATACTATTCTTGTATTTTTCTCTACATATACCATGTTCAGTTTTTCTACTGTTTAGAAATTGAGTGAAATAAATGTTTCAGTCACAATTTTAACTTGTAATTATATGTTAATTATTATTTGAGAATTATTTTTAAAACACTATAGATTATAATAATTATTAAATATTTAACAGACATGTATACATAAAGAAAATTTTAATGAACTCTCAAAATTTTAATTATATAACATAAACTAAAACGAAGAAAATAATAATTACTGAGATACTTACCAGATAAGGGTGATGAAATTCCAGTGGCATTTTGAAATGGGGATAAATCAAGACGTTGAATAATATCATTATCTATTACAACTTCATATCTACCTTCTGAAGGTGGCATAGGTGGTGGTGCTACTTCTATATCTGTTACAAAATTGGAGTCGACATTTAAAATTTATTATTATTGAATTTAAAGAATCAATAAATTGACCAATTATGAGCTAATTTTATCCTTTCAAAACAATAACATATGGTCTATGGATATTGATCAATTGAGAACATGAAAACATGAAAGAAATAGACTAGGAACAACATATATAATTAAGAAAATGCATAAGTGCTTCCTCAATCTATGTCCGAAATTTCAAAGATACACTTATACTATACTAATGTTCGATTTCCCTCTAACTTATTTTCTACGTAATTTTCTATCCTTTTTCGCCCTACGTGACACTAGTTTCAAAAAAAAGTCAAGCAGCGTTGGGCCCACAACATAGTGCCATGTAGGTCGAAAAGGGGTAGAAAATTATTCATAAAATAAGTCCAGAAAGATAATAAAACCTTTATATAATATAAGTATATCTCTATATAATATAAGGTACTTGTCCATTATCACTATATAATATAATAGGGAAAAAAAACATAATCATACATTAGTAGAAATTGAACCAATGAACTAACCAACTATAAGCTAACCTTATCCTTTCAAAATAATAACATATGGACAAAATTCAATTGAAAATTTTAAAAAATATATATGAGAAACAACATTTGTTATGTCAATAACACCAAAAGCAAGGGGCATTAGCTTTTAATTAAATTTATATTTATATAGAAAATTTATTAAATATTTATTCGCGGATTTAATAATAAATGAAAAATTTAGAATCTAAAAATTCGAAATCTCAATTGTAACACGTATGTAAATGCAAGTCTAGAATGTATTAAGTGTTATTCTTACAATAACTTATATTTATAAAGTTAATAACCAGAAACAGAAACAGAAGTCAGATGAAGCAGAAAATAATATAGAATACAAGAATTAATTCGAGTCCACAGAAACTACTGTCTGTGCTTAAGAAATTTAATCCCCTCACTGTACCCAAGGTTATGGATTAATTTCTCCCAAGATAAAACGGATATGTATGTAAATGAAAAGTATAGTATGTGCTTACTTTCTTGGTCATCATAAAGGGAGAGGTCAAAATTTCCAGAAGGATTAAATGATACAAAGGTAGCAAATTGTCTCGAAGAAGAAGAAGAAGAAGAGAAAGTGAAAGAAATTGAATTGGATTTGTGTGAAATATTAATCAATGGAACCAAAGAAGGAATTGTTTGTTTAAGTGTAGAAGAAAGTGTGTGTAATGGTCTTGTTGAAGCCATGGATAAACAAGAAAAGAATATGGTTATTTCTTCTTTTTAATTTATCACCTTTTTATCCTAGCCTTGTGTTGCTTATATCCAATATTTGGCTATTTTGGAAGTGTCCCCCCCCCTCCAAAATCATATATGGAGGGCAAAAATTGTAAATATTTATGGGTTGGCTAGTTTTTGGACCAATTTGAAAAATAACCAGGGCCGGCTCCAATGCCTATTTGAATAAGGCATTGGTTCATTGACGCTCGATAGATCTGGGCTAAGGAGATGATCTGGGTAAACCCCCTTTTTGGTGAGGTAAGACACCTTCCATTTTTTGCTAGAGCAAAAATGAAAGAAATTGTGTATGTAATCCACACCCAACTTTAGGGGGCTTCAGTCTTAATCAATAATAAATTATATTTTTTTTAGAAAAAAAAATTATTATTTATGATAGAATATATTTTTTTAAAAATACTATTATTTTATTTTCATAAACCCCATCTAAATAGAAGAAATCAAGAAGAATTATTTTATTTTCTCATCGTTTCTATGCTAATATTCACATTGTTTTATTCTTTTAACTCCTTTTACACTCTTTTCTTTAAATTTTTGATAAGTGGAGTAATACTCTATAAAAAAATATGAATCTAATAGTCAAAAGTGTTGAGAAAATGAATTGTAATTTTTTTTTTCAGTTTCTTCTTGGATTTTCAAGCTTTACAACAAGCATAGTAAAACAGGGGTATACAAAATTATCAACTTAATTCTATGTTAACAATTCATATAATTATTGCCCGAGTAAGCAAATGTTTTTCAACAATTGATGAAATCGAATAAATTATTTATAAAAAAATATTAAGTAAACTTTGCATTTTAAAAAGCAAGCTTCTTTTTTTAAAAAAATAAAAAAATAATGCATATGAAGTTATTTAGATTTTAGGCCTCTAGTTAAAATTTCGCTTTACGCCTCCGATAGTATTGAGCCGCCCTTGAAAATAACCATTTTTAATGCAGAAATATTATATAATACTATTGTGGATTTTAAATTTAAACAAGTGAAGAATTCAGGACTATCCTCGTACTTTTTTTAATACCATAAAATTATTATGGATTTTGAAAATAAAGAAAGAGAAAGATCATGATAATGTGAAGCTAATTTAGATGGAATGATAATACTAGAGTTATCATCCATTATTACGATGAACTGAATAAGATTTTAATGCTTTAGAGACAAGAATTAAAATTATAAATACTATATATTTATAAATTAAATATAACTATTTATGCAATGTATTTTTCGATAAAGCAATGTAAAAAACTTGCTCTGTCAATGCTCCAAAACAGAGTTCTTGGGTTGGAAGCCTTATAAGAGTGAATTCGTACTAGACGGAACTTCAAAACAAATATTGAACACGTCTAATAAGAAACAAAGCAGAATATCTACAAGAAAAATAACAATAAATTTAATATGATTTCATAAATAAAATTTAAAAAAGTTTATGTATACGTAGATTTTGTTCTTATATTAGAAAGATAGAAAAATTAATTTCGATAGAAAAAAATATCTACTAGAGCTAATATATAGGCCGATTAATACTAAGAAAATTAATGTACCTAAGGCCGGCCATTTTAATTATATTTGGGGAGATAGACTTAATTAAAAATGCTTCAAATTAAAGTTATATATTTCCACAAGCTAATTAAGTATCAGTTAATATTTATTCATTTAATCATTGGGTGTTTTGATCTTCATGTGATTCATTCATCTCCTTTACTAGGTAAGTGAAATTTTAATTTGAAGAATCCTACTTCTTTTTCCTTTTCTATTAACTTTTCTGTCGTAGTCAGTGATAATTTATTTTCTATATATGTTTTATTTTTTTGATAAATTTTTCATCGCAAACTCCAATAGAATTTTTTATCGAAAAAATATGTATTTCTATTAGTATCCATGTTAAAAGAAAATTTTAAAATAACATTATCTCATTATATGATAAGGAGAATTAAGAAAAAGTCTAGGATTACTTGTGACCATGTCTAAAGATCTTCTTCTAATTATTAATTTGGAAATCACTAACATGGATTATATTCTACCAATAATATATCATGTTTATTAATTTATTATTAAAATATGAAATTTATAATTTAAAAGAATAACATCTATAAAGTTTACTTTTTATAACACGTAAAAGTTAATGATAAATTAAAAATTTCGTACACTAACGATTAAAATGTATACATTAATAAATCGTAAAATATCGATTTAAACAAAGATAATATATTAATTTGATTATTATTATTTCTTAATTAGGCCGGCATGTGGGAATAATAAAATTGGGGAAAATTTATATTATTGCATGCCCACAAACTAAATTTGACATTGTTAATAATAAAATAATTCATATCACATGATTTAATATTATATTCTTCTCCAATGGCAGGTTAGATATGTAGGAATCATATTTTGGCCAGATGTAAAATAGTTTTAAAAAGATATAATGTATAGATAAGGTATTTTAATTTAATCCCAATTGATAGCTAAATTAAACACTCAAATTTTGAGAATGTATGAATGTTTGGATATTTTAATGTGTCCTCGTTGTATATCTCAACGCTGATGTTATAAATAAATTTTGAAAATGTCTTAAATTATTATTTTATAAGTTGGAGTATTTATTTATCAGCGAAGTCAAATTTAAGTATCTATTTACGTATTATGCTTATAGTTTTAAAAAACTGTTATTGTACATGAATAGACATCTTAAATTCACCTCAATTGATAATTAAATATTTTAACTTTTGAGAAAATATACACATTTAGACATCTGATCAACTGGTTCGTGGACGCTCCATAAGGACGTTATACATAAATTTTAAAGGTGTCTATATGATTATTTTGTTAGTTGAAACGCTCAATTTACACAATATTTCGAAATAAGTTTGAAATAAGTTGAAGTGATTAATTGTCGAATTAGATCAAATTAAGACAAATACTCATTATTTACATTAGAATTTTTAGTGTTTGAAAATAATAGGAGAAAATTGTAAAATTGAGGGATGGAGTTATATTTCAAGAGATAATATTTCAGGTAAATCCAATTTATATGTTTTACAAAATAATATTCATGTTTAAATGAAGATATTTTAACTTCAATATTTTTTTTGTGTGTTTAAAAGAATATATGTACATAGTATGTGTATGGACTAACACAAATTGTAATAGAAAAACAATTAAGTAGAGTATTTTTTTTTAATCTTTTAATTTAATTTGTTAAGTCATATCTGGATTCACTTTATTTTTATTTTTATTTTTTGTTATAAATTTTAAATTTAAATCCTAAATATAAATTTCTCTTACTTAGTTGAGGTCAATTTTCTTTGGCAATAAATTCAAAAGATAAAATAAAAAAAAAAAGTTGATTGACTTTAAAGGGGGAAAATATTTGTATGCTATGCTTACATCAAAATAACAAATGCAATACGCACATTTATAAATTAAAATCATGGCTAATTGTTATATATTTTTAATTTAGTAAAATTTGTATTGCTAAAATTAAATTATTTCATTTGATTTAAATGCCCAATTTAGAAATCTCACTAACCTTTTAATCTTTTGAATTTTAGAAATAATATCATTTTCATTTTTAGAATGAAATAATGGATCCCCTTAAATATTAAATCATTGTCCAAAAATGAATTGGTACTATGTTTAATATCTACTGATATATATATATATATATAATTTCTTTTTTGTTTGACCATATATATTTTCAAAAATATTTGGGAATAAATTTGATAAATATTGTCGATATACATCTTGCCATTATTTGGGAAGTATTTTTGGTAAACAATCCAGATTCTCAAATGGAATAGTATTTCAACCAAATTCTATTATTGGAAACTTTTAAAAATTTAAATAATATCTCAAACTTTTATATTTTTATAAAAACATTCGCCATTATAGTTTTGAACTGAATTTTGTCATGATCGTTGTATAAAATTCATACAATTATATACATAGTTTAAATAGATTTTGTCTGAGCTTGATCTCTACATTCACTTTCAATTACAAATAGTAAGTAATAATAATTTTTTCCTATAAAAATCAATAGTAATATTTTTTTTCCGGATTCATGACTCTTCATAAAACATAATCATTCTAAAATGATAAATACAAATTTAGGGGTATAAATCATATTTTTTACAAAAAATATAAATACTTCTCCCAAAGTCTTTGTCTGGTTAAACTTAACCCAGAAGCCAAAAAATATTTAAAAATTTATTATCGAACGCTAGCTTAATATCTACAATGTTGTATCCAAGAAATTTCCTTTTTAAAATTTAATCAATGTCCAAAAATCAATTCAATATATTATATTACCTTATTTAATATTAAAATAATGTCCACAAATAAATTATTTCATTTAATTTCTTGAATTTGTTTTCTAAACATTAATTGGTACAGATAAGGAGATATTTTTAGATCTTGAAGTACTATTAGTACATACTCTTTATTCTTTTTTTTTTTGGTTAAAATTATTAATTAGATACTTACTCCAATCAAGTTTGCATTATACTTAAATTTATTAACTAATTTGACCATATATTCAAATAATACTTTAACTTTATTAACTAATTGGACCATATATTCAAATTTTGTCTTTTTAATTGGTTCTTTGTACCACATTGTTTGTAACTCCTAATATCTAAATTTTGTAAATTTATATAAATGTCTATTGGTTCTTAATATAAAGTTTTATGTTTCAATTTATTTTCTTTCAAGAAGTTAACCAGGTAAATCTTTTATCCCATGCCTTTTTATTTTCATTTTTGCTCTTTAATTTTGTTAAAAATTTATTTTTGTTAAATTGTTTTCATGTTCATTCTTTATTTCCTATATATTGCTAAAAAACATGACTATTATCAATTGAAGAAATTGATCGATCGATATCCGATCGATTTTAATGTTGAGAGTTTTTAAAAGATAACTAATCAAAGTTGCATGAAAAGGATTTTAAAGGATAACTAACAAAAAAATCAAACCGAAAGGATGGTATAAAAGATCTATGAAAATTGATGTAGCGAAAACGTCCCGA